AACAAAGGAGCCAAGAACATACATGGGGAAATGACAGTCTCTTCAATAAATGGTGCTGGGAAAACTGGACAGCCACATGCAAAGGAATGAAACTGGACCACTAACTTACATAAGACATAAATTAACTCAAAATGAGTAAAAGACTTGAATGTAAGGCCTGAAATCTTATCTCCTAAAGATTAGTCTTGGCAATAATTTTTTGCATCTGACACCAAAGTAAAGGCAGCAGAAAATAAACAAGTGAGATTACATAAAGTTTAAAAGCTTCTACACTGCAAAAGAAACCATTAAAAAATATAACCTAATCAATAAGGGAAAATTATTTGCAAATCATATATATATGACAAGGGGTATATCTATTATATATCTATATCTATATATCTCTCATACAACTCAATAGCAAAGAACCCAAAGAAAATCAATTTAAAAAGGGGTAGAGGATATGAATAGATATTTCTTTAAAAGGACTTATAGGTGCCCATCAGGTACATGAAATGGTGCTGGACATCACCAATAATCAGGGAAATGCAAATTAAATCCGCACTGAACTATCACCTCACACCTGCTGGAATGTCTATTATCAAAATGATGAGATTAGTCCCCTCGTGCAATTTTGATGGGCATGTAAATTGGTGCCACCACTACAGAGAGCAGTTTGAAGGTTTCTAGAAAAAATTAAAAATAGAACTATATGGTCCAGCAGTTCCACTTCTGGGTATTTATCTGAAAACACTAACTCAAAAAGATATATGCCACTTCATGTTCATTGCAGCTTTACAATAGCTAAGACATGGAAACAAGCTATGTATCCATCAGTGGATTAATGGATAAAGAAAATGAGACACGCACACACAAAAGGAATATTACTCAGCCATAAAATAAAAAGATATTTTTCCATTTGCAACAACATGTATGGACCTTGAGGGAATTATGCTAAGTGAAATAAGCCAGATGAGAAAAGACAAATACTGTATGGTCTCACTTATATGTGCAATCTCAGAAAACCTTGAACAGGTTGGTGCTTTACACAGGTGGGGGTGGGCAACATCAGTGAAGCGGGTCAAAAGTTATACACTTCCAGTAAGGAAATAAAATCATGGAGATGTCATGTACAGCTTGGTGATTGTAGTTAATAATACTGTATTGTATATTCTTTGCTTAGATCTTAAAAGTCCTAAGAAAATTTTTTTTATAACTATGTATGGTGACATATGTTAACTAGACTTATTGTGGCTATAATTTCACAATGTATACAAAAATGGAATCATTGTTGTACACCTGAGATTAATATGTTATATATCCATTGTACCTTAATAAAAAAAAATCAGCATCCAAAGCTTTACTTCAGATCTGCTATAACAGAATTAGCAATTTTAACAGTATTCACAGGTGATTTTCATTAAAGCCTGAGACATTATTTGCCTAGAGGGTTTTAAAAGAAATAAGGAGGGGGTGAGAGTATTTGATGGGAAAGACCCATTTTCCTCCCTTTTAGGAAAAATAATTAGAATGATCAATGTGCACTGTATGTCCCCTTGATGGACCTCAGTGATACAATACAGAAATTTCTCCCATGTGTAGCCAGATCTGTTCCCAACAGTCATTTCACAAGCTGCCAATAAGTGAGAGCCTAAAAGCAGAGCTGCCTTGGGCTGAATGAGAGCTATCAGAAGTGAGTGGACTCTTCCAGGTAAGAGAAAGATGATATCCCCCAGGCGTAGGAGCAAGGGGGAGCTCATGCCTCTTTGATTATGAAGCACACACATTAGGTCACTGGAAGTAAGTGGGGGTTGGTAGAGGTGCCAAAAAGGAGCGTCTGGTGGAATGTGTTGACTGGCTAGCATGAACATTGTCCCTGGACTCACCTGGGACACAAATGACTTATGTGTTACAAGTAAATTCTGTGGCCACATTTCCCCAAATAACATCTGATCTTCATTAGAGATGGCACAGTGTATTAACTAGATAGGAAATTCCAAATGATTGTTCTCCAAAGAACACCTGGTGTGTGTGTGTGTGTGTGTGGGGGGAGGGATATGAGCGCAGCAATGTGTGGATAGCTAGTTCCAACGAGTTTTGAGTGGCTAACTGGTCCAAAGCATCCAGTCACATGTGTTCAGACAATAACACAAAGAATTAAGAGCCTTGTGGTGGTTTTGGGTTGGCCAAGCTTACTGGCATGTTCAGATAACAACCACTGAGAAACTATGCCTAATCAATAGAATGATGAGGCTACCAAGTAGCTCCAGCCCCCAACAAACCACAGTTGTTACCACACAGCTGTTTATCAGTAGGTCTCCAAATCGGTTGTGAACACAGTACACACATACTACAACATTCTACCAGGTTGAAGATGGAGACTTAAGTGGACACCGAGCTCGCTCCCTCCTAAGAGCACATCGAATGCACACCTGCACCTATAGCACTTCCTCCTAAGAGACAACCCTGAGCCCACTGAACAGCTTTTGCACGATAAACAAGAGAGAGAGACTGTGTAGAGAAGTTTGGGAAACTGTGAGCATTCTGTGGAGCTGAGGGGAAAAATGGGACCAGAGGAATGGCTGAGCACCATTGCTTCTTCCCCCTGCACGTGGATAATGGGCGGGAGCTCTAGCCAGGTTCTCGGGCACACATGCAGGTGCTACAGTGTGTCCACAGCCACTCCTCCTGAAGCTAGATCCAGCAGAAACAGGAGGGCTCCGTAGCATGCCTACAAGAGGCCCCTCCACCCAGATATTGATCCAGCAGATACTGCAGGGTGATGCTGTACATGCACACAATTAACTTGTCTATCCTCTCCCTTTTAGACAGAGTACACAATAAGCGAGACAAAAATGCTGCAGTCCCCATTAGAAGGGCCACCCTGTGCAGAGATAGTGGGGTGCTACTATGTGGTGCTGCTCTCCTGGAGAGAGAGTGGAGCTAGTAAAATGCCATGGTACCCACTTGCAGGGCTGCTGGGGGAGAGTGCAGATAGCAGAATGCAGCTGTGTGCACACACACAGGCTGCCCACCCAGAGGATGAGTGAAGCTTAGGAGGGCATTGAGAGGCGAGCACACAGACCCTGCTCTGACAACAGATAACTAAGACAACAGGAAATACCCACCCAGATTAGAGGGACAGGAAGCACACACACCAGGCTGCCTGGAACCCACTCCTTCAGGCCAGGCAGCACAGTAGGCACCACGTGCACCTGCCCTGACTACAAAGGCCCAACAAAACTATTTGACACACATCTACACAGAGACCATTTTTTTTTTCAAGTTTGGAAGAGAGCTATTCCATCCAACCCATATGAACAAAAACAGAAGAACATGTCCCAAATGAAGGGACTAGAAAAAACTCCAGGGAAACTCCCTTGTGAAACGAAGTAATTTGCCTATTAAAGAATTCAAAGAGCCCTAGCCAGGTGGCTCAGTTGATAGAATGTCATTCCATACACCAAAAAGGTTGCGGGTTTGATTCCCAGCCAGGGCACATGCCCAGGTTGCATGTTCAATCCTTGGGAGGGGTGCATACAGGAGATAACCAATTGATGTTTTTCTCTTACATCAATGTTTCACTCTCTCCCTTTCTCTCTCTCTAAAAAAAAATTAAAAAAAAAATTGGGGAAGTGAACAGACATCCAGGTCCAGGAAGCCCAGAAACTGCCAAACAGAATGAACCCAAAGAGACTCATAAGACATAATTAAAATGGCAAAAGTAAATATAAAGACATATTGCAATGAAAATGGCAAAAGTAAAGATAAAGACTGTCTTAAAGGAAGCAAGAATGAAACAAATCATAAGAGAAAACTCATAAGGCTATCAGCTGATTTTACAGGAAAAATTTTACAGGCAAGAAGGAAGTGGTAGGAAATATTCAAAGTACTGAAAGTATAGTATTTTACCACCTATAATTTGCTTATGCAAAAATTAGAGGGCTTCACGACCACTAAACCAAACTCATAAGAAATGCTAAAGGATCATCTTTATGCAGAAAGAAAAGGCCATAACTAGAAATAATACAGAAAAGAAAAAAAATCTTACAGATAAAGGCAAATATATAACTATAGTAAATCAACCACTTGATAGTAGCAAAATTAACTATAAATACAATAAATAATCAGGATACACAAAACAAGATTTAAACATGATGTCAAAAATAAATAATGGAAGGGGTGTAAAAATATAGTGCTTTTAGAATGCAATTGAACTTCAATGCCTATCAGTTTAAAATAGACTGCTGTAGCTACAGATGAATATATATGAAACTTATGGTAAATATAAACCAACACTATAAAAAACACACACAAAACTAAAAGAAATCCAACCAAACCCTAAAGAAAACCAACAAATCAAAGAAATCAAAAGCAGAATAAAGGCATAGAGAACTACAACATAATGGCAATAAGCACACATCTATCAATAATTATATGTAAATGGACTAGGCAGGGTGACATAATGGATTAAGAAAATGACTGAATACACATGCTGCCTATAAGAAACTCATTTTAGAAAGACACACATGGGAAAAGATAGACATGAAAAGAAAGTTGGGGTAGCAATACTCATATCAGACAAAATAGTATTTAAAGCAAAGAATGTAACAAAAACAAAACAAAGACATTATGTAATTTTATAGGGGTTAATCCAAGAAGAGGATGTAAAAGTAGTAAATACCTCTGCAGCCCACATAAGGGTACCCAAGAATATAAAGCAAATATTAATGGACATAAAGGCAGAAATGAACAGTAATACAATAATAGTTGGGAACTTTACTACACTACTTCAATGGACAGGTCATCCAGACAGAAAATTAATATGAAAACAACTGCTGTAAGTGCCGCATTAGGCCAGTTTGACTTAACCATTTATAGAGCATTTCATCCCCAAACCGCAGACTGCACATTTTCCTCAGTGCACATGAAACATATTCCAGGATAGATCACATACGAGGCACCACTTACTGTTGCAGGGTCAGCACCTTTAGATTACCTGTCAAGTAAATTCCTCTCACCTGGCCCCAGCTGGAGAAGGCCCACTCCACACAAAGCTGCTGGTTACAGGCCTGGGTGTCCACGGGCCTCTTGGCAAGCTGCGTGCACATGTCGTTGGACACGGGAGTGGAGATCCCAGAGGCTTTCAGCTTTTGGCAGGTCACCCGGCGGGTCTGGATGCCTCCCCCACAGCTCCGGGTGCAGGCGGACCAGGAGGTCACCATCCACCTGTGGAGGGGAGGAGGTGTCAGTCTCAGGGAAAGGAACAAGGCTGTGTGCTCTCAGGAAAAGAGCCCCACACATCCCCACATTCTCACAACACAGCTGCTCATCTGGGGCCAGGGCCTTTCTTACTGTGTGTACTTGGAGCGATAGGCTGAAAATGCCGCCCCCCCCAAGAAACCTATGGAAAACCCCTGGAACCTGTGAATGTTACTTTATTTGGACAGAGGGTCTTTGCAGACATAATCAGGGATTTTGAGATTATCCTACATTATCTTGTTAGGCCTTACATATCATCACAAGGATCCTTACAAGAGAAAGGCAGAGGGAGATTCCACACAAGAAGAGGAGACAGTGTAACCACAGAGGCAGAAGAGGGAGTGATGTGGCCACAAGCCAAGGGATGCTCAGAGGCACCAGCAGCTGCAAAGGCCATGGAACAGATTCTCCCTGAGGGCTTTGGCGGGGGTCCAACCCTGCAGACACCTTGATTTTGGACTTCCGGACTTCAAAACCGAGAGAGAATAAATTCCTGTTGTTGGAAGCTACCATGTTTGTGGTCATTTGTTACAGCCATCACAGGACACAAATACCCTTTGGAAACTGATCTTAAAGGTCCATCCTGAAAGCGTATTTTGAAGATCAGTTGCTTCGGCTTGGCATTGGCCCCAAAGCCCTGAGCCTGCAGAAAGCCTTGAGGTAGTCACACGGCTCTGCGGTTCTTGTATTTCCTAAAGGCACCGGGTGTGTGGCAGAGGAGAGACGATTCCTAGGGAAGTTCGATCCAGACCTGTGTCACCTCCTGACCCAGGAGCACCCTGGGTCTCCCTGAAGCCCACATTTTTTTCTGCTAGTACCCACTGTGTTTTCTACCTCGCCTTAACTCGTCTCTGACTTTGCTCAGTCCCCCAGGAACACGTAAGCTCCTTCCAGCTCTCTGGAGCTACGTCCCCTCTCCGAGTCACGGTCCGTGGATCTTGCACCTTTTAGCTGAAAGGAGTTGTTCTCGGAATAGTTGGTTCCAACTATAGTTCGGATCCTTGCAAATGAGACCAGCCAACACTGAAACATGGCTTTTTTCAAAGAGCCCAGATGTCAGCTGGCAAACGCTGAGGTCCTTGGTCCATATACAAACACGCAGGGGCTCTCTGCATGTTTATACCCTGGGGTAATTCTCAAAGAGGAACATGGGAGGGGGGATAGGTTGGGGAAAACAGTGAGAAAAGATGGTGCTTTCCAATCAATTCACTTGAACTGGCGTGGGGGGGAGTGGGAGAGAGCATTCTTTGGTTTTATTGCCTGAGAAAAAGTTTATCTAAATGAAATAGTCCTGCTTGGGCCAAAACAGGACTGCCCACAGCTATTCAAAGAGATGACCAAGGTCCCCCCCCTCCACCTTTTTGTTTTTGCATCTGCAAGGAAGGCTGCTGAAGTGCCCGAGGCGGGACAGCCACTCAGAGGTGAACCTGTGGCCACTTCCTAGTGCATGGTGCCACGTCTGGCTCTCCGGAGGCCAGGAGCAGGGACAGGAGGCCAATCCCGCCAGCGTCTGGATCTGTGATTTATTTAGTTTGGTGGAACTTCCCTGCTCTGTCTGCCCTGGAGAAAGAGGGCTGCGTGCAGAGTTCCAGCCCACAGAAGCAGAGCCACTTAGGAAGCAGGCGCGGGGCGTGTGAAAGCTCCTGGGGGCCCGAAACCCAAGCAGACGGGGCCATTATTGCATCCGCAGACGCAAATGAGGCTGATTGACTCTGACCGTCACCCCAGCAAACCAGAGAGCCCCTGGCATGTCCGAGACCGCTTCTTCATTTCACACAGCTTGGCAAGGGCAGTCTCTCGTATCCCTGGTGAATGTCAGGCCTGCATTTCAATCAACTTTTATTTCCAAATATACATTTCAGCAATTTTTCAGGAGCTGGGGCGAGGGGTTCTGAGAGAGGAGAGGTACGGGCTACGTTACAGTTCAGGAAGGGTATAAAAGGACATTAATCATTCCCGTGGAAACCTTCCCGTCAGCAAGTCAAGCTGCTGATATTAATGAGCGTGTTTCATATTTCATTGAGTCTCTCCTGGTTTCAGCTGCTCCTCATGACTCAGCTGGCAAAACACGAGGCGGTTGCCTAGAGTGGTGTACGAACGTCCTGCAGATAGGCCGCGGAGGGGCATTTCAGGGACCAGCCAAGTCCCCCCAGGCTCAGGGCACCATGCTGGTGCCAACTCTAGGCCCATCCATTATCCCTTCAGCTACTGACGGAGGCCTGCGGCGGGCACGCTCAGTGGGACTCACAGCTTCTCAAAGCTCGAGGAGGCCGAGAGCAGCAGAGGCTGCGGGTGTCAGTCTGGGCTCCGTGAGGGACCCAGATGCAGAGGACGTACTAGAATGTCTGACACCGAGGCAACTAAGGAAATGAAGACGTAGTTCAATGCTAGCAGGATGCCACCGTTTGTGGAAAAGGAGGGGATCAGATTTGTCAACTAAGCTGAAGTGCTGATTAGCATAGGTGTTTAAAGTCCGAAGGAAGAGGAAGCGAGGGTAGGACAGAAGTCTAGGCAGTGATCCCCATCCCTGAGCACTTCAGCTGCAAACACATACACATTTCTTCTTCTACAACAGAGCCCGTTTCTCACTGCAGGATGTGAGCTATCTCCTGCCAGCGCCTGGGATGTGCCTGCTCCCTGAACAGAGCCTTTTAGGCACGGGGATGCCGAAAACCCTGACAGGTGTGTGCGTGTGTGTGTGTGCGTGTGCGTGAGTGTGTGTGTGTGTGTGTGTGTGTGTGTGTGTGTGTGGTAGTGTCTGCATAGTGCAGAGTCTGGACAAGGCTGTGCTTGCAGGAAAGAGCAGCTCCTTGGAGGACACGCCCTCCTCTGCACTGAACTCTCCCCCTGCATAGTGCTAGGCAAGGAAGGGCTGGCCACCAATGTGGCTAAAAGTCGGGTCCTTACTGGGGGGTGGGGAGGCCTGAGCAGCCTCTGCCACACTCACCGGGAAGGGCAGTCTCTCCGGTTGCAGGGGACGGGGTGCACGGCGGGGCGGACCTTGCCCGCGCAGTGAGCAGGGTTGACCTCTGTGCTGTTCAGGAGACACTTCAGGCGGGGCTGCTGAACACCCCTGTTCCCACAGGAGGCCGAGCAGGTTGCCAGTCTGTCCACAGACCACCAGTAATCTGTCACGGAAGGGGGAAAAGTAGATGCCATTACTGCCCATGCGCTCTATGTCTTCTGAACAGGGCGCCGGGGGAGGAGGGATGTGGTGGTTATGAAGGAGCCTTGCCCCTGGGTTTATCCAGGCAAGTTATGTGGCCTCCAGAGCCCTCAGTTGGCTCACCCAGAAAACAACACAATAGGTCAAGCTATTATGAGGCCTGGATGTAAAGAAGGTGAAGATCCTTGCCCGGGGCCTGGCACAGAGAGAGTATTAATCAGCGGCTGTAGCTCTTATTCTTTTGAAAAAAACTTTAGATTTTATTTATTTATTTATTTTTTTACAGACAGGAAGGGAGAAGGATAGTTAGAAACATCGATGAAAGAGAGACATCGATCAGCTGCCTCCTGCACACTCCCTACTGGGGATGTGCCTGCAACTAAGGTACATGCCCTTGACCGGAATAGAACCTGGGACCTTTCAGTCTGCAGGCCGATGCTCTATCCACTGAGCCAAACTGGTTTCGGCTGAAACATACTTCTTAAAGCACTCTTTTTTCCAACTGGCTCACCAGAAAGTGACCATATATTTCAACGAGAGCGATAAAAATATCAGGGGTATTTCACGATCATATTTAAAAAGGCAGATTCAAGTTCAACATTGTAGATGCTACGAAAAACCGGCCTATCCAGAGAGCCCCTGATTGCGCGAGTCACTGACGTACCCCATCACCGAGAAAGGCAATTTCTCTGCCTTTTCTGGTTGGGGGTCTGGGACTCGCTGGGAGGGGAGCTGTGGAAATAATTGTGGGCTGGCAAACCGTGAGCGCCTATTTTGCGAAGTTGTGTGTTACAGATCTTGCAGACAGGCCCGGTTTTCACCAGAGAATGGTTGGCTGGCAAGGAAATGGAATCCTCCCTTTCTTGTCCGGAAAGCCAAATGGTGGGGGAGGATGTTTAAGGGGAAAAGGGGGAGGATGTGCTCAGAGGTCTCCCTTTTTATGGGCTGTGTTGACATACAACCCTATCCCTTGCCACAGCATCCTCCATTCAGAGCGCACAGTGGAATTTTGCTTTCCCTGAAAGTATCACACACTGACCACAGGTACACCCGGCCCAGGGAAAACTCATGAGCCTCCGTTAGTTTCTATAACAAGGCCAGTCATGGCTCCTCTCTCGCTGGATTGGGCTTATCCATGTTTTCTTGGTGCAGCAAATACCAGGCAGCCCTTGCCCGAGGGCTTTCTGACCCGCCAGTGATCCTGAGAGCTGAGTGGGCCAGCCACACGGGCTTTTCAGTCTGGCCTTTGCCTGGGCCACAGGAGAGGAACCTGGAGAGCACTCAGTGTGTGGCACAGCTGAAGGCTCCAGGGTGATGGGCAGGTACTGGCACCGGCTCTGACTCTCCAGGGCGGGAGGCAATAGCCAAGTGGTTCAAATTCTGTCTTATCTGGAACCAAACCAACAGACCAAATTTGCATTTTTCTTAACAGGCTACTTAACACCCAACTGTGTGTTTTCCTTACAAAGTCGCCCAGCGTAAAGGAAATGCATTTAACTTTGCTACAAGAGGGCGTTTCCTTGGTCCCACCTATGAAAGTAGCACTGACTCTTCCAGGTTCTGCTGCTGTGGGACCTGGTGGCTCGGCTGAAGGGCCTCATGGGATGGAAACATGGTTCAGCGTCAGTTTTCACATTCTCGAGACTGCTGGAGACCGTAAGTCATGTTGTCCACGACAGAACTAGATTCCCAGGGGGACTCACTTGTTCAAGGAATAAGTCCAGCACCCAAAGTCCTAAGGGGTCTTACCTTGGATGACGAGAGAGGCCTTCTGCACAAGCACACCTGCCTCGTTCTGGGCGAGGCAGCTGAATTCCCCCTGAGATTCGCCATTCAGATTGGCAACCTGGAGAATCTGTCCAGCTGCCAAGATGTGATGTGTCAATCCTGGGACAGTGGCAACGGACTGGCCCCCATAGAACCAGGTGATATTGGGGGTAGGATGACCTTGGATGGGGCAGCCTAGAAAGAGAGGAGAGGAGAGGTAAGCTACTGGTAAAGCCAAAAAGGGCACATTCCTGATGAGTTATTTTAGTGTGTACGTGGCTCTAGGGGCTCTGGGTACCACATGAGCAAGCATTTTTCTTCTGCTTGCCCTTCCCGAGCAAACAGGAGATGTTTTTGCACTCTGGGTTCTGGGAAGGTGACTTATTCATTCAATTAAGTAAACATTCTTGAAGGACACAGAGTGCCTATTTCCACCTATAGCCCTGTACTGACTTAAGAAGATGAAGCAATTAATATTCACTCATTGAACATTTTACTGGAGTTAATTAGTCCGTATACCAATTTTATGATGAAAGAAATCATTTCTTCAAATGCAGTGAGCTCAAAAAGTACATACTATCTCGTAATAGCTAAGAATCGAACTTTAATTGGTAAAAGTCTAATATCTGCCTCCATTTTACTCTTTATATGATTTTTTTCAAGCCAAATTTTTAAACAGAGACTAGGAAAATAATTTTAAATACTAATCTCATTTCGCTGTAAGTCAAGAACCTTGACTTTCAGATAATTCTTACCAAGCCTGCACTGAACATGTACAACATCACAATTATATGTCCATCAATGGATGGATAAACATTCAGATACAATTCAGAAAAAATTCAGATACAATTGATGACATGGATGAACCCTGACAACATTAAGTGAAAGAAGCCAGACACAAAAGAATAAATAGTGTATAAATTCCACTAATATGAAATATATAGTGTGGTTGTGCTCATAGAATAGTGATTGCCAGGGGCTGGGGGAAGGGAAAATGGGGAATTATTATTTAGTGGCTACAGAGTTTGGGATGTTAGAAAAGTTGTGGAGATGCAGAGCATGATGGTTGCACATTAATATGAATGTCATTAATGCTATTCAACAGCACACTTAAATATGGTTAGAACAGTAAGCTTCATTTTGTGTGCATTTACCACAATAAAAGAAATGAGGCAGATGTGCTGGTGTACCAGCTCCAAGCCCTAGACCTCAAGAAATCTTGCGAGTTCTTGCTTGTGCTCTTGTGCCATTGCCATTGTCAGCAGAAGAACATGCCTGGACCGGCCTGACAATCCCAAGAGGAGGATGAGGGAAACATGTAGGACAGCCAAGTCACCCAGTTTAGATAAGCTGAGCAAAATAAGATCAGTAAGGATAAATGATTGTTATTTTAGGCCATTGAAAATCTTGTATTTCTTTTCCTTCTCCTTTTTTTAAAATGCAGTTTCTTTTTCTCCCTTTTAAAAAAATGCTTTTTTCCTTCTTCATGGCAATAGTTAACTGATGCACTCAGGGAGAAAGTAATCCTTCCAGTTCTTCTCCTTGATTCATGTCTTACCATTGTGGCTGGTTTATTAATATTAATAATAGGAAGAAAGCAAAGGGAAGGCCATTCATTGTAAGCATAGTAATATGGGCAACTTAACCAGGAAGCTGTAATTTTACACTCTTCAGGGAACCACAGGTCCATTCCCTGCAAATAACTGGGACCAGAGGTCCAACAAAGGGGAAGATGGGTGCATGAGGAGTGAAGTCGGGGTGAAGTATAATAGAAGATGTCTGTCAGTCTAACCTAGGAACCATGAATTGACTAGAGGGGTAGAGCAACTGCAAGCATGCAATATCCTGAAGGAATAATTGGTTAAGCTCCTAGTTCAAATCCCAAACAAAGAAACTTTCCCTCTCTCATTCCTTTTGCTTCATTCCTACTTCCTTGCATGCATTTGTTGCAGCCAATGTGGTTCAGTGGTGGAGAGACGACCTAGAACCAGGTAGTCATGGTTTGATTCCTGGTCAGGGCATATGCCCAGGTTTCGGGCTCGATCCCTAGTAGGTGGTATGCAGGAGGCAGCTGATTGATAAGTCTCTCTCATCATTTGATGTTTCTTCCCCTCTCCCCCTCTCCCTTCCTCTCTCTGAAATTAATTTAAAAAAATAGGTCTTGCCAGAGAGAGAGAGAGAGAGAGAGAGAGAGAGAGAGAGAGAGAGAGAGATTCCTCCATTAGTAATCACTAAATTAAATTATCTTTAAGGTGCTTTTATATTCCAAGATTCCTCAATATTATCTCAGACTCATCTTCTCCCCTACCCAAGTAGCCAAGGGCAAAAAAGATCTATATTTAATCTATACTTAGATCAATACATGGTGAAAATGAACTATGTAAATGAAGAATTCATGGAAGAGATATTATATATGGAGGTTATTAAGGATTAAGATAAGCAGAGACCAAGGGTATAGAGTAGGAATGGGAGGGCAGTCTAGAAATGGTATGAGCAAAGATGCAAAAAAAAATGAGAAAACAGGTGTTGTGGCTGGGAGAAAATACCAGTTGACTAAGTCATGGGGAACAGATGAAGTTGGCATGGTTGGAGTTGCAATGGGAAGGATGTTGAAGGCCAAAATATTGTCTTTTAGGAACTGAAGAAGGGGTATGATGTAATCTAAATGGGCTTTAGATGAATCAGTAAGGTGATTATTTGCAAGATGCACTGGGCTGAGAGAAAGGAGATTCTAGGATTTCAGTTCAGATGTGGCAAGAAATAGACATATAAGTAAAGGTTGCTCTGAAAGGATGTGAGGAGGAGAGAGATGGAGATAAAGGGAAGCTAAAGATACCGAAACACTAGAGAGACTACTAATAGAATTAGATAAGTCAAGAAAGATGGATAAATTTAAAGATTTTAAAAGTTGTTATGGAAATTCAGGATGAAAAATTTATTGAGGTGGTACAAATAAAAATATAAGTCAGAGGTAAGAGCTGAAGACACAGATTTTGGGACCCAGTCTCATATATGTGTGCGGAAGAAATCTTCAGTGAGGAGAGATTAAGTCTCAGGAAAAATCATTGGGCGAATTCTGGCATTCTGTGATTTAAGAAGAAATAGGAGGTAGTAGAGGAGACTTAGAAGAAGTGATCCGAGAAACGGGACGAAAATTGAGACTATGTAATATGGAAATACATAAAGGAAATTAAGAAACAAGTTGTTAGTAAATAAGAAATTAATAACTTGTGAAATGAATGAGTGGTTTCACTAGTTTAAGAAAATAACTAACCGAACAACCCCCCCTTTCAGATAATATAAATGGTAAAATTTACTATAACTTATGTTTGAATAGTCAGTACTTCCAAGTTAGTGAAATTGCAAATAAAAGTGTTTGTATAATCAAAACATCCCATTTTATGCTCTGCACACCCATTTATTTAATTTGAGAGAGAATTTATCTCTGGGTCTTGAAACTTTAGAAGTGGCCCAACAACTGGGTTATTAAGAAAATGAATTAAAAATGAGAGTGAATGAGAATGCTTAAAAAGTTGCAAAACAGGAACAGAGTAGATCTTGGTCAGAAAATTCTCAAAACAATTTATTTGAGGATTCTAGTGTCCAGGAATGGTGAATAACATAGTTGGACTTATCTTCCTGCAGGTAACAATCATAAAATATAAACAAATGAAAAAAAAGACATCAAACAAAAACTCTTTGAAAGTACTAAGGTGTGACAAAAACCAATAGCAGAAATAGGAGAGCTTAAAAAAATGTAGGTACAACAAGTGTGATTTTATAGCTTGTGGTTTTCTGCCTGAGAAAACTGCTTAATCTCTACATGGCTCCGGGAGCTGGGAAACTTATAGCTTTACTGATTTGATATGTCAGAGGATAGAGTCTTGGGGCTTTTATAACAGCTGGAAAGTTAAGGGGAAAATCCTGGAAGAGTCACAGGGGTGATAAAGTTCAAAATATTCACAATTCTTGGACAAATTCTTAATGGGAAGACCCCTAGAGACTCAGAAAAAGATCAGCAACTAAGCTGAATTAACAGAGTACAAAGTTTAGTCTGTGCGCATTGAAGGGAAAATAAAGAGGTTGGAATTTTAGTCTAGTGAAGTTAACTATCCGTTGGAACAAAAATGAACACTCTTCAGAGGAGAACAACAGAATCCAGAATCTCTACAATATATCATCTATAATATTCATAATATAATAAAAACCCAACAGACAAGGAAAAATGTAATCTATGCTGAAGAGAAACAGCAGTGAGTAGAAACCAATCCTGAGATGATGCAAATGTTATGAGTGGACAGTGACTTTTAAGCAGCAATTATAAGTATGTAGGAAAATATACTCACAATAAATTAACAGATGGAGTATCTCAGTAGTGAAGTTGAAACAATGTAGAAAAATTCTAGAGATAAAATGTACAAAAATGAAATGAAAAATTCATTTGAAGAGTTTACTATAAAATTAGAGATGGCAGGAGAAAGTGCCAGTGAACTTGAAGATAGTTAAGCAGAAATTACCAATGTGCAGAACAGAGGGAAAAGATTGAAGAAAAATAAACCCAGTCTTATGGATTTATTAATTAAATATTAAAATGTATGATATATGTACAATTAAAGTCCAAAAGGAAAAGAAGAAAATGAGACAGAAAAATATTGGGAAGAAATAAACTACCAAACCTCTCAACTTTTTGGAAAACTAAAATTCCAAGCATGTTGACAAACCTCCTAGGAACATTATAGTCAAACTGTTGAAATTAAAGGAAACAACTTGAAAGTCATGAAGGAGCCATAAGGACTGGGTTTCTTCTCCTGCCTTAAATAACTAGAAAACTGGACAAAAATGTATGAAATTACTGCTTTTAGACATTAGGCACAGACTGTAGAGGACTGTGATGTCTGAAATTAGAGAAACATTAGGTGAGCCCTATGAATTCCCTGGCTTTCTGCCTGGAGTCACATTCTAGACTGCAAAGCATGGAGGGTATGTTAGCTTCCTAAGGTTGTTAATAACAAAGTACCACAGACTGGGCAGCTTAAACAGTAATTTATTGTCTCAGTTCTAGAGACTAGAAGTCTGAGATCAAGGTGTTGACAGAGTTACTCCCTTCTGAGGGCTGTAAAGGTAATCTGTTCTATCCCTCTTTCCTATCTTCTGGTGGTTTGATGGAAATATTTGGTGTTCCTTGGCTTATAGAT